AATAGGAAACTAAGATTTTGAGAGACACAGTATGTCCCCTTCACTCCCCTTCAGAAGAGACTCGTGTGTGTTCCCTTAATTCACCATTTTTGACAGAAAACTGCACATTCATCACACCAGACTTCTTCCCGAATGGCTAGCCACACTCCTGCAGTTATCCAGGAAAGAAAATGTGATATTGAATTGTAAATATTTCCTCTGCTCCAAAGACTTCTAATCCTTGGTTTCCTAAAGCAGAAGATTCATAGAATATTTCCATCCTGTAGCTGTGAGCATTCCCCTGCGTTCTTGAGATCAAATCCTTTTGATCAGAGCATAATCCTTGATACTCTTGCTTTCTCTGGGCTGTAAATAATTTCAAGGCTATAATTTCAAGATCCTATAATGCTATAAGATCTAACAAGTGGAGGGAATGAGAATGAGGAAGACAAAGTAGGGGTGCCATGGAGACAGTCATCTTACATGTTCCAGTCATTTAATTGTATGTGAAAATGGGGGGCTATGCCTGTTTGCTATATTAAGTGTTTTTAAACACTATTAGAAATAAATGTTATATTGCAACCCAGTACACACATGTAAACACACACATACACACAAACACACACAATGGGTCCAACCTGCAGAGGTGGATGGAGCTGTGTATGGTGGTTACACACAAGCAATAGAGTCAGACCTGCAACACGGCCCTGCTCTCCCATTTGAAACCCTCAAAAGAATTTTGGAAAACTGCATACCCCATCACACATTTAAAGTTGTCATCTAAATTTTTTTCTACCAATATTTAAATACTTGCAAAAACTAGAATTTCCAGTTTGTTGTCAATACGCTTTAAATTTTTGTCAAAATATGAAGCCAAGAAGCTAGCTCAAATTTGTAGAAAACGTTCATTATGTAACCTAATTGCCAAAACTATTCCTCACTGTCTCTCCCTTAAAGCTAATCAGCCTTAACACCCTGTCGGAAGGGAAGTCGGTCTTCAGTTTGCAACTCAAATAAATATAATAAAGTGCCCACCTTCCAATACTTCTGCATTCGAATTCTGAGATGCAGAGAGGTAGGTGAGAGAGAGTGAGAGAGGGTAAAAGCCTTGCCGTGAGTCTCTTCCTGGTTGAAATAAAGCCCTACTCCTCAAGAGACCTTCCCCCGGGAGCCAGGCTTTCCCAAACTATCCTTGGTTTGGCACCTGGGAATTTTTTAATGTTTCTCAAATGTTTGACATGGATAAGAAATGTCATTCATTTGTAATGTGGCAGAAAATAATTGTGAAAGCAGAAGTGAGAGGGAGAACTGACAGATCTCAGACTCCTGGTACTTTCTTGGCCAGGTTGGTCTGGCCGTGCTGTGTGTGTGGAACTTGAGGATCTGAAAACGCATTCTCCTAAATTTATGACTGGAAATCCCGGGAAAGTTCGCAAGTACCCCAAAGTACTCGAACCACTGTTCTAAGCCTTTAGGATCCTTATCTGTAAAATGAAAATAATAATAGGAGCTACCTTCAAAGAAAGGAAGAGTAAATAAGGCTTACAAATAAAGCACTTAATGAAGTTCCGCGTGCATAATAAGGACCCACTATGTGTTTGCTGTTGTCGTTGTTCAACCCCTCTACATGCTAACAGTGTCACTTCTCATTGAATTAAGTAATCCTTAGTTCCATCTCTAACATTTATGTCTCCCAGCTCGCGTATCCGAGCTCTGTCCACACCCCTGCAACCAGCAGCCCCTTGGCCACTTCTGAGGCCTGGAACCCACATCTGATGGCAAATTCCACTCTCAAAAGAACACACTTGAGTAAGAAGCCCTCACACAGCTCAGAGGTGGACACAGGGCTGTCTGGGCAGGAAATTCAGGATTCTGACGTTCTGAAACTTGCTCTAAAAAGGGTTGGATACACGTCTGCTGGGCACACACCCCCGGACCAATAGATTTCTTGCCTAGACAGAGCAGGACAGGAGCCATAGAAAGCACAGGCCCAGTTCACGGCTCCTTCTGCTTAGGTCTAAAGGTCTTCCCTGGGATTGTTGTTAAAATTGATTGGGATTATATGTGTAGATGAGTTTTGAATGTAAGACCAGTATTATCTCGATGGCTTTTACGATCCCAAATTCAGTTAAAGTCAGCCCCCTTGAACAAACTAATGGAAACCACAGGAAAAGACAAGTTACTAAACAAACATCGTTTTGGCATTCTCGGAAACAGAATATAATGCCTTGTTATTTGTTTCAGGCGCTGGCTTTCAGGCCTCGGGATACAACTTCAACACCTATGACTGGAGGAATTCAAAACAGAGAGGCAGCTTGTCCCCAGTCACTAAGCCTCGAAGCCAGACTTACCCAGATGTGGGGCTGAGCGGTGAAGACTGGGACCGGTCCACAGTCAGTGGGTAAGTTTCTAATCAACTGTGGCCCCGCCCCAACGGCTAAGCTGTCTTTTGGGCCAGATCTAAACCTGTGTGTCCAGTGGCACATATCGCTCCCATTGGTTTCTTGAAGCTGCTGTAATCACCCACGCTGGCTGCATGGCAGGATTCCGAAGCTCGTGCCTGCCCAGCGGGAGCCTGAGCACCACCACACAGATTGGAAAGGGCTAAGTGTCCCCTAATGGAAACAACAGTAGCATATGGAGAATATCCGCATCTAAAAACTGTGTCCTCACTCTTTGGCTAGTGCCCTCTCCTTTCATTTGAAAGGTAGTTTCACACCAATTTACATAAAAAAAGTAAAATAAAAGATACGTCTAGGGTACGTATTTTTAACTAAGAGATCTATTTCAACATTTTGTTCCTTAAAATATTTCAAGGAAATTTATAAAAAGCAATAGCACTTAATTGATCTATACTGATGTTTATAATAGGATGAAGAAAATACATTCTTTCTCTCTTAGGGAAAAGTTTGATTTCTCTTGCCCCCTGGTAGCTGAAAGGTATTCCCGCACAAATGCCACATTGATGCTGCTCATTGAGCAGTAGCCGCTAGTACTCTGAAATTCAATTTTCCTAAGACCATCGTCCTTCCCTTGATTCTTCAACACACTTCACTTTTCCAAAAGCATCCTTACATTGGAGTCGGCCTTACTTGGAGACCACAGTTGGAAGAAAACCAGATCCAAAACGAATCTCTATTTTTTGTGTGAGATGAAGGAGATTCTGGATAAAGAAAAAAAAATTATTCTTAACCAAGACCGTGCTTTTTGGTGACAGTTTTACAGGAGCTCCTGACAGTACAGAAGTCGAGCAAGAGGAGAACTTCTGGTCACAAGCGCTGGAGGATTTAGAGACCTGTGGACAATCAGGGATTTTGCGAGAACTTGAGGTAGCTTCAGACTTGCTATTTACTTTGATTGTTTCTACATTCATTTTTTTTTTTTGTCCTTTTGAGTTTGCATTTATCACACCAGTTCATTTAAAAGCTTTAACCCCTTTCCACAGGAGAAAGCTGACAGGCGTGTGTCTTTGAGAAACATGACTCTCTTGGTAGCTACCCTTTATGTTTATATTTTTGCTTGTGAAGCTGCCTCCCCTGCCCCCTTGCCTTCTGGACAGCAATTTAATTTGATTCAATGCAGTTGAAAGTATTTATTTCCCCATTTTCACCCCACCCCGAGCTGACTGACTTGTGGCTTTTGCCATTGCTCCCTGCTAACCCTGACTGTACCTGTTTGCCACCAAATCGCTAAGGAGCCAGCTAAGTCCCACAACAGTGGTGCATCTCATTCCCTTAGTTGCTTTAGAAAGGTTTCTTTGGCATGTTTTCATTTGTACCTGGTATAGAAATTAATTTGATCGTGAAGAGGAACATAAGAGGAAATTTTACTTTGTTTTGCTTTGCTCTTTAAAATAGATGACAATGCAGCTGGTGCAAAAGGCCAGTCTGCGAGTTAAACAGCCAAAATGTTACACATTACTTTGCTGTTAATTTCAGATCCTGATTCCATATTACCTAAGTGTGAACTTGAAGAGTCACTGTGAGATGGAGTGTGATAGCTGAACTCCTAGTGAGTTCTTTAATCAGAGCCATGAATTTGCTGACAGTGTTCACGCTTTGGTCTGGGAAGTCCTGGACTGTTTCCTTTTATGTTCTTTTAAATTTTCTGAGCTGTAAAAAATAAAGTGGCAAAAGTCTCATTTTTATTTTGATGTCATATGAGGTCCCCAGGTCACCTTAAGGAATGTGAATGTCATAACTGGGTGGAACTCTTGCAATTCTAAAATGATTACTCATCTTTATATTATGTTGCTTCTCAATTGCATGTGTGGATATTTTGTGTGATTCTGATGTTTGTGACTCTGCAAAGAGAATAATAAAGAAAAATATTAGTTTGAATTTGTAAACATCATAGTATTACCTGGCATGAATTTCAGCTTCAGAGCACAGGTAAAGGCCCTGGAGATGGATAATCTTATAAAACTTGAATAAATTAAGATGGCAGCAACCGATTCCTTTTTATGCAACTTTAAAAAAAGTGTGGAATACTTAAGTATCGGCTAGCTTATTTAAACTTTTACCACTTCCTGTATGTACAATGTCCAGCAAAAGGGAACCAAACTGAAGAATGAGCTCAGTTCACAAATCTTGAGCATACTTTTGCTTTTGAAAGCATATATGGCTGATATGCCTTTTCATTTCATATTTTGATACTTGTCTTTTGAAGAAGCGGCTATTCTTCTAATAGCTTCTTTTATATTATGTAAAACGAAAATGATGTAAAAAGTAGTACAGCAACGTTGTGTTTTCACCCAGAAATTGAGTTGTCTAATGAAAATAACATCCATCAGCATAAAAGTTATGTTGCAACATTCTATAAATCTTTTCTAACATAGCTTCAAACACGTGTGGCCCTTGAACTTATAAATCCAGAAAGGAAATGAGTTGAATTTGTAAGCCAAAGAAAAATTAAAGTCCTCAAGTAAGAATGACTGGCAAATCTATAGAGTCTTATTTACACTTTCATCACAAAGAATGTTATTTATTAGTTTAAATGAATTCTGATTCCTTGATTGCAAATGCTACTATGCAAAAGATATTATTTGAGCTATGTTCCTGCATGTGAAATTTACATCCAGTACTCAAAGTTAAAGTGTACTATTACTGTAATAAATGTAGAAGATTAGCTGAGATGAAAAATGACTACAATCGAAATGAAAGTGAAAATCATACTAGTCATTTCCCCATTGTTAGCAATAATTTAGGTGCAACTTAAGCACTGAAAAATGTATAGCTTAACAAAAGAGAAAAATTCTAACTAAAACTTTGGACAAGTTACTTAATATCTCTTATCATGTATCTCCTTTAAAATGTGGGGTTATAGTGAGCTAATGCTTATATAGCACTTAACACAGAACATGGCACTTAATAAATATTCAGTAGAAATGAATTGTTATTATTTTTGCCATTTGTTTGATTAACGAACCCTGCCTTTACCATTGTTTTTTTAATATAGAAAGGTTTAAATGTCAGAGAACTCTTGAACATACCTCTTTTAGGTTATATGCATATCAATTATCTCACTGATAATTTAGAAAAAGAAAATTATAATTGTAAATTATAAATCGTGCAAAATAAAAACAGGCAATAGATACTCTCGGAGCCAAAACAAATCCTAGATAATTTATATTTTTTAACTTTTTATTGTAGTTTTCTATGTTTGTGTTTTAATTTTTATATTCTTTCAAAGATATCACTAATTCAATTGAAGTTCATTTTAAACAAAGCAATCAAGCGATTTGTTGAAAACTTGAACTGAAGACCTTTTGATAATATATCATTGCTTCCATTAGAACCCTTTCTCGATTGGTTTGTAACTTCCATAGTGGATAAGGTTTATCAAAGCAGAATTGCTGTCTCCCAATTGCACTGATTAAGTATTTTACTTCCAACGTGTTTCCAGCTGGTCTCATGAAAAATGAATATTAAAAAAAATAGATGTTAACAAAGCAAATAACTAGTCTAAGTAGGAAAAAATAATAGGTAGATGGTCACTACAGCAGAAAACAATCATTGGGTGCTGTCAGTTACTGTAGATAAAACAAAGAAATGGATATGTGTGAGTTAAGCGTCATTAAATAGAAGGATGTCCCATGATACCAACAAAGCTAGTAACTGAAAGATTTCAATTGTAAAAGGAGATTTATCTGAAAGCAACCACAATATGGATAACTTACATTGGTTTAAATATTAGGGTTTTTTAAAATACTAAAAATGTCAGTTTTATATGTTTTGACTTAAGATTTGACTGAGAAGCAGTATAGCCTGGTAGTTCAAGAATAGGGTTCTAGAGTCAGATTGCTAATGTTGCAATCCTAGACTCTTGGGCAAGTTGTTTCACTTATCCAGGCATCCCCTTCCTTAACCGAAATGCGGAAGTATAACTACCTCCCATACAGAGTTATTGTAAGTATTAAATGATATTCTACATACATACATACATACATATATGTGCTACTTAGCACATGTTAATGCTCAATGACCAGTAGGGATTTTTTTATAATTTTCTTTTTCAAAATTAGCATTTAAAAAGCTTATCTAGTTAGAATATTGATAAGTTTACTTGTTTCTTTTTCAGCAGAGATGTAGATATATGTACATGTGTGCAATACATGGCTGTCGTTCAAAGATCTTGTTAGTGGTGTATGTATAGCTGAATACCAGGTGAATCTTGGAATTTTAAAATCTTAGATAACAAATGAAAACTCTCTTTACTTTGCAGTGCTCCCTCCTGATCAATTATTTTAGGTAGTGCCCATGTCTCATTTACTACTTGTGTGACCTTGGGTAAGTCAGCCTCTTTGTGCCTCAGTTTCCTCACCTGTAAATTAGGAGGAATAATAGTGCCTATTTCATAAAGTTGCTGTGAGGCTTAAATGGGTAAATGCATTCAAAGGACTCAACAAATTACACTTCTGTTACTTATAGCATTGGTATTAATATAAACCACGAGTTCATGTTGTAGCCAGTAACAGAGCGTACGGAACCTGTTTTCTGTTCCCATGATTTCAGGCAGATTCACCAATGCTAGTTTACTTTTAGATGATCATCACAATGAGGAGTACAGGCATATTTTCAGAATTTCCGCATCCTCTAACGGGAGAAATGAATAAAGCCAACATGGCATTGGTTTCAAATGCTCTTTTTGCTCCACTGCTGAGACTCAGTCACATTTAGGACCCAGTCTTGCCACTCCTTGTGTGTTATGCAGAGAACATATTTGAAACTGAACAAACATCCCAATTCACTGGTAAAATCCAATCCAGGTCTCACAGCTTTTGAACAAGGTGCTCAACCCGGGAGCATAAGTGATTATTCTTGAATCTCTCTCAGGATCTTCCACAAAGGCCGTTTCTAAAAAACATTGACCTCCCCAAATGATATAGAGACCTAGCTGGTCTACAAGCTTGTGGGGCAGGGCCCCGTGGCCAAAGGAAAGACTGTACACCGGTGCTATGCAAACAGCATCAGGCAGAAGCCCTTGCCTTTGTTATCAGTAGCCCCGTTTCAGCCCATTGTTACCTCCAGGTGACGCTAGAGGCAGCATTGTAAATAGAGACCGCCTGGTCCCCTGTGAGAAATTCTTAGTTCATTTCTGTAAGGTCTTTTGAAGGTTGCCTGATGAATCCCATCTGTAGAGCCCACTGGTGGAAAGCTAATACTTAAAACGTAGTTTACAGTAAGCAAATGTTAGAGCTTTTCAATTTGCCTCAGAACTGCCAGGGGTGGTATTTGATTAAATAAACTCAACGGCTTAAGTACTTTAAATTGGATTTGAGATGTGCATTATAAATGGCGCTTGCAAAGCATTTTCCCAGACTTTCATAGTTTAGTGAGTTTATCCATTCTCCAGTCTTTGGTTATGCCCTGAAGACTGTATTTTGACTGAGCAGAAGGAGAAATATGCTTAATGTTGAGCAGCCAACCCCTTTCCTTAGTCCACGGCTTAATTGTTTCTGAAAATTGTCAATGCCACAGGCAACAATCATGTCAGGCAGCACGATGAGTTTGAACCATGAGGCCCCGACACCTCGCAGTCAGCTGGGGCGACAGGCCAGCTTCCAGGAACGGAGCAGCTCGCGGCCACACTACAGCCAAACGACTCGAAGCAACACGCTGCCCTCAGATGTGGGCAGAAAGTCTGTGACCCTGAGGAAAATGAAACAAGAAATAAAGGAGATCATGTCCCCAACTCCTGTGGAGCTGCACAAGGTCAGGACGCTTTCTTCTCTCTCCTTAGAGTCACATTTAGTAGCCACTGTGCACAGCCTGAGGGCCGATGCAAGCTTGACAGTGATATTCTCTTATGGGCTCGGCCAAGGAGAAAAGCCAGAGCTTAAAGGCAGATCATCTCAGGGACTTGACTGTTCTCAGAATATGAGAACATGAGAGTTATCCTGTAAAACAGAGAAAATTGGCTTTCAAGAAATGAATTTATCAAAAATTTATTTGTAGCCAAAATCTTCTTGCAAAAGTTTGAGGCTCCAGTGCCACACAGAGCTTTGATGAATTGGTCTGTCATCCCAGCTTCATTGGGAGGGAGGGAAGGATCTCCCAAATGTCATATACTCACAGCTTCTCTGAAAGGGGGTTTCAGGTGTAATGTGGGAAAGCTTAAACCTTAATTACAGACTTATCATCAGTAGATGGTTATATCATTCAGGGGACATAAAGTTCTCCTCGAGACATAAATTTAGAAGTCTTGGGTCAGGAAAGAGTAAGCCCTGGTTATGTTCCCTCTCTGCTACGAAAGTTGCCTCACTTTACTTCGTGGAAGAAAACCCATGCCTGTACACAGAGCTGAATTTGAGTTGTTGGCAGAGTTTAAACAGGCAAATGTAAGAGACAGTGTTTGTGGAAGCCTGGGCCAAAGAGAGCAGTGGTAGGGGGGTGTCTCAGATTTTCTTTTTGTAGAGCTAATGCTTTTGTTGTTGTTGTCATACATAAGGTTAGTAACAATCTCACTCAGCTGTCTTGAGAGCCAAGAACCTCTCTATAGTTAATAATCTATTAACTAGAGATTAGTTGTCTTACACAGAAGAGCAAATAAATGTTGCATTGAGAGGAGGTGATAGGCCACTACTCTCTTTTTCCTCCATTGACTTCAGTTTCCTAACCACCTATTAAAACTATTTATTTGTTTTACAGCTGACAACGTACACCGTGAAAGAAAGGATAGTGTGGGAATTCAGGTTCTGAACTTTAGTTCCAATCCTGGGTTCATTTTTTTATCACTCATTCATTTGTTCATTTAATACATATACTCTGCATTCGTTCACTTAAAGCATGGTTTATGAATCCCCAGGGAGCACACATGGCCTAATGAGGATACAGTCTGGGAAACAGTGGGAAGTTGGTGCGATAAGTACAATAATAGAGGCAAGACTAAGATGCCTTTGCAGACAGAGGGTGGACCCTACCCACTATGGAGGAACAGAAAGGGCTTCCTAGAAGCAGGTATTGACTGCAGGAGAGTAGAGGATGGGAAGGCATTCCAAGCACAGAGAGAAGCATGTACAAAGAGATATCAAAGATTGTGGTGTTCTGAAGGAATGTAAATATTCCAACATGACCAGAGCCTTGGATTGGAGGAATTACATTAAGAGGAATTACAGACTTTAAAGAAAAGCAAAGAAGTTTCTGACATTTTAGGGTGAGGACCTAGGTTTAGTCCTGTACCACAAATTAGCTTGTTTATCTAGTTACTCTGAATTGATGTGTGTCTGTTTGGTAAACACCAGCCTTCATCCCCTCTCCATGTCCTGATATGCTAATGGGCAAACACCATCAGGAGGCTGTAAGGACTTCCATGGTGATTAAATGGCAGAAGCCTCATAGTCAATGCTAATTTTACTGTGCCAGGAAGAGGGTGGCCTCTCCCGATTCCCTCAGGCATCTGGGAACTCTGCCTTATCCTCTTTTCTAAAACTCAACTGCCCAGGCAAAGGAGAGGTGCTGGATAATCCACCCTCCCTTGGCAAAGGAGAAGTACACTAAAATGTATGGAGTGCTTACTATGTGCTATATTCTTTCAATTTTTAGTCTTCACAATAGCTCTTCTTAGCAGATATTTATTATTCCCATCTATAGGACAGGGAAATAGCAAGCATGAAATAGAGTCATTTTTTTTCTTTCTGGAGTAAAGCAGTCTCCTCAAAGGGAAATTATTGATAGCCCAGCAATACAAAAGACCTGTCTTCCTTTCCCTCCTGCACTGAAAGCATTTAGCACAGATAATGATGGTGAATTGGCTGTGGAAATTGTAGCTGAGGTTAAAAAAAAAAGTGACTGTGCTGAAAGTAGACCTTGTTTAAAAAAAAAAGTGGGGGGAGGGCATCATCTACTTAATAGCACAATGAGGGGCAGGGCATGGACCAGTCGGAACATTTGAGTGGCATTGTGTGAATTGGGAGGCCAGAAGACCACAGACAGGGATGGACCAACTTGACATAATAAATGGGATGCTTCCTTTTTCCTTCACCTCAGCCATTTCCCCTCCATGGTGCAATAAGTGCATTTCCCACATAGCTTTACTCTTCATCTGAACTGATCCCAAACAAAATAAGACTTTCAAAAGTAAATGATGTCATGAGCATTTTAAGATACCTTAAAGTGATCTAGTTAGGTAAAAATGTAGCTGAGGAACTTGCAGCCTTACAATATGGAATTCTTGGAGTGGTTTTTGTTCACACCTCAAGTATCTTTTCTTTTTTAAGTGAATTCAATTCCTCTGATAAGCCATCACATGTTTGTTAAACACACTCTACAATTCTGAAGTGCTTGAGAGGAGAGATGGTCATGAAAAAAGTCGCTTTGCTCAGAGCACAGGCCAGTTTTTCATGTAGGTGTCTTTTGAACACTGGACGTTTGGTTACCTGACACAGTGAAAAAGCATGGTGACTTGACAGAGCTGAGTTATCCTTCCACTGGAATATGCCAGCCTGTACTAAACTTTTGTAAAATTAGTAAAAGGTACTCTTTTGCATAGTGGCTTGGAAAGGGGTCAGGGAATTAGAAAAACATTCCTTCCTCGAGTTGAAGATAACCCCAAGACGGTGTGCACAGCTTGGCACATGGAATGAGGGCTGGTTTTCCCTGAGCCCGGTGGATGGACTTTTCTAAATGGATCTAGTGGAGGAAGTCCCAAGGGGTTGCCAAGACCAGAGTGGAGAGGCTGAATGAGGTAAACAGCACATCAGTCTGAACACGCTCGGTGTTTTTCCGGTTGACGTCTTTCTCATGGCCATTGGCCACTTGGTGAAAACCGTCTCCATGAGAACAAGTTGTGGACCTATTCATGTCCAGGCCAGCACTTACAAACTCTTACTTTTATTAGAAGCGGATCAAGAAAATACGAAAGAATGGGCAAGTATCTATCCCCATGCCTGGAGAGAACAAACAAAAAGCAACTCCATCTCTTGATGATGGGTTACTAACATCATCTCATACAGAAAGAATACATTGTGGGCTTATCTTTCAGTTTCTTGGGTTTCAACTTACTCTCCTTTGTTTGCCCCCCATTTTTCATCCAGTCCTCATCGCCATTCCGTCTCTTTCTTCACCTTCAGAAATCCCAAGCTCAGGTCAGAGTCTAAGTGGTTTCTATTTATTTCACATCATCTTCTGTGTCAGAGGCTCTTCTGGGTCCCGGCAGGTCTTCTGTCAAGTTGTCCACATTCATTCCTGAATCCAAAGAGCCAGTTGTCCTTCCTGAAACTTGAGAGCAAAACGTAGAAATGAAGCCTCACTTCCCCCTTTGGCCATGTGGATAGGGGAGGAAGTTGGAGCTGGACTGAGGATTTCGTACTTAGTTGAGAGGTAGGGGAGCAGTCAGGGAGGTCATAAGGAAATGATATGCATGTCCCCTTAGGCCACCGCCTCTCAGATTTTCCCAGCTGAGTCTCAATCTGAAATACATTTTATCTCACATGTTAGTGTTACAGGAGAGGGAGATCCTCTGTCTGCACAATTTCCAGGTTCTTGATGTCTCAAACAAGAACTGAGCAAGACACTGAAATACAGAAGAAAAGAAAAGCTTTATAAGAGGGGATAGTACACTTCCAGACGTGGGAGTGGGCCTGAGCAAGAGAAGCGTGGCTCAAAAGGCCTGGTAACAAAGCCTTCAGGGTTTTTATCGCTTTTTGCTGTGGGTAGTTACTTTTCTTAGAGGCGTGGGCTTCCTTGATTGAGAACTAAGATTGAAAGGACTCAGTGTTTCATCATTTTGCTTTCTGCGCATGTTTGTTTCCAGAATTTAGTCTGTTATAATGATATTAATGAACTCCCGGGAATATGCATCATATTACAATGATGGTATAATGAGGCTCAGGTGCGTTGAAGGTTATTGGGCTCTTCTTTGCACAGGTGCAAGTAACTGGCTTAAACTGGTACCTAATTCTCTGCCTACTGGTTTCTTCATGTGAGTAAAAAAATGCCTCTGTCTTGCTTAATTGTGGGCAGATTAGGGCGGACCCTTTCTAGGATAGTATGACCTCAGTGTCTTTGCAGGCAGACCCAAAACCCCCTAACTTTTCTGCCTACCTCTTTTCTAAGAGCCATGAACCTCCTTATTACAGTTTATTGGTATGGATATTGAAGGACCAGAGGACTCTTCCGTATCTGCTTC